CCCAGTCCCAACACCAATAAACCAGTTCCGCTCCGGTTCCGGTTCCGATTTTTTATTTTGGGGTTTTGGGGTCGCTGGGAGGGGGCGGAGCCGAAACCAAACCCGGCACCCCCGGGGGGAATTAATTTAATTGTGTCATTAATTAACTCATTTTATTCTGTCATTAATAATTTTTATCGTGTTATTAATCCCTTTTTATTGCGTTATTAATCCCTTTTTATTGTGTTATTAATTCCGTTTATTTTATTATTAATCCCCGTTTATTAGATTATTAATTCTGTTTATTTCATTATTAATCCCCGTTTATTTAATTATTAATTTCGTTTATTAGATTATTAATTCTGTTTATTTCATTATTAATCCCGTTTATTAGATTATTAATCCCGTTTATTTCATTATTAATTCCCGTTTATTTCATTATTAATCCCCGTTTATTCATTATTAATCCCGTTTATTTCATTATTAATTCCCGTTTATTTCATTATTAATCCCCGTTTATTCATTATTAATCCCGTTTATTAGATTATTAATTCCGTTTATTTCATTATTAATCCCGTTTATTCATTATTAATCCTGTTTATTAGATTATTAATCCCCGTTTATTAGATTATTAATTCCCGTTTATTTCATTATTAATCCGTTTATTTCATTATTAATCCCCGTTTATTTCATTATTAATCCCGTTTATTAGATTATTAATCCCCGTTTATTTCCAGCGGCTCCAGCCCGGAACATTCCCGGGAATTTTGGATTTTTCTGGAATTTTCTCCCTTTCCCAATGGGTGGGCACGTACTGGGAGCACTGGGGGGGCACTGGGGGTTACTGGGAGCACTGGGAGGGCACTGGTTGGTTACTGGCAGGGCACTGGCGTTTACTGGTTGGTCACTGGTTGGTTACTGGTTGGTTACTGGGAGCGCTGGGTGTTACTGGTTGGTTACTGGTTGGTTACTGGTTGGTTACTGGGAGCACTGGGTGTTACTGGTTGGTCACTGGTTGGTTACTGGGAGGGTACTGGGGGTTACTGGTTGGTTACTGGTTGGTTACTGGGAGCCCTGGTTGTTACTGGGAGCACTGGGAGGGCACTGGCAGTTACTGGTTGGTCACTGGTTGGTTACTGGGAGCGCTGGGTGTTACTGGTTGGTTACTGGGAGCACTGGTTGGTTACTGGGAGCACTGGGTGTTACTGGTTGGTTACTGGGAGCCCTGGTTGGTTACTGGGAGGGCACTGGCGGTTACTGGTTGGTCACTGGTTGGTCACTGGTTGGTTACTGGGAGCCCTGGTTGGTTACTGGGAGCCCTGGTTGGTTACTGGGAGCGCTGGGAGCGCGGTTCCCGCCGCAGGGGCCGCCGGGAGTTGCAGTTCCGGACGCACATCCGGGTATGACGTCACTAAGCCACGCCCGCTCCCGCTCCCCATTGGCTCACAGCGCGGCCCCGCCCCGGTTTCTGATTGGCCGCCGAGCTCCTTGCGCTGATTGGCCACAAGACACCAGGTGGGAGGGACTTCCGGGCTCTCCTCGCGCCGATTGGTCAGCGCAGCGCGCGCCCGGCGCTGATTGGTGGAGGCGGGGAACCCGGAAGTGGCGCTG